TTCTTACTTTCTTCTATTTTAATCATGGTTCCTTCCTTTAAGAGGAGTTATCCGTAAACAGAAAACTTTGCACGTCACATGCAGACTTTCCTTTGAAGGAATGATGAATTAAAAAAAGGTCCCAGCCGACCAAGCAAAATTAGAGAAAGAACCGGGACTCAATAAAATAGTGTAGATTAAGGAACCACCCAAATTTATCAAGTTTACAGCTTGCAGAAGCAAAAGCTCATGTCGGCAAATACTAAAAATTCTAAGAGGGGCACCCACAAAAATGTCCTGCAGTAGTATTTCAGTTCGTGGAACATTTCTAAAATTCGGGACGTTCTGTGAAACTCTCCAAAGTTATGAGATGTTTTCTCTTAATTTTTAGAGTTCATGTTCTCAAGGTTTTTTTAGAAATTTACCCATATTAATTGGATTAATTTGACAAAATCCCCGAAACTTTGCCGCCTAGCAGAAGGGTATCAGAGAATCAACTCGATTGAGGATGAAATAAGATACAGAATGAAATGGAATAAACATGAGAATAGAATTTTTAATTTCTTTTCCAAACTGGATGTGATTAGGGAGAATGATAATCTTTGTGCTTTTGAAATTGGAAAATTAATAAGCAATCAAGACGTATCTCAAAATTATTGAAATTTTTTTATTCCTAATTAAGTGAGGATGAACGGGAAGTGATAATAGACTTTCTAGCGTACCAAACAAGGTGTAGGAGTTTTTATGTTAATCTCCCTCCCTGAACTCTTTTCTTTCGAAACACTTGCTCTGGTGTGTTCCACGTACCCCCCTCAGAATTTAAGATTTTCACATTCGACCCACCATGTTGTGTTAAGGGCATAAATTGAGGGAAATGTTTGTCTTATGCAACAACCATTACTATGTCGGTGAGAGGTATCGCGGCGCACCCCAACTTCATGATGGTTTGGTGGGAAAGGACGTTACCGGTAAATTTCACTTAACGCCCCTTAACTTTAGGGGTTTTGCAAATAATCCCCATTTAACCTTTTATTCGACTTTAACTCCTTCTGACTTGTCTTACTTACCCACCCCTCCCCCCTCCTATTTTAACTCCGTGAAATTTAACAGGTCACATGCCTTGCTCGTGATGTAAATGGACAAAAGTGCCCCTCAATTTGTTACATATTTATCCTATTCTCCTATTTTCTTCCTTAAAAATCCAGCTCTCCTTTTCTCCTCTTCTTCTTTCTCCAACGCAATAAATCTAGACCAACTAGTCTTGCTTCACAATTTTTGCGTAAAAATCTGGATCTAGGGGGTTGGCTTGAGAACACTTTAAAAGTTCTAAGGGGGTTAAATGAGAAACGCTAGAGTTGAGGGGTGAAATAAATAAAGTTGTCAAGGGTTACGTGATAAATCCTCCAAGGAGAGTTGAGTGAAATTTACTCCAAAATTAAATTCAGGGTAAAATTTACAAAATCCCTTAAGTTTTGCCATTTTTATGATTATCCTCTAAACTTTAGAAATATTACTTAGCGCGCACCCCAAAATTTTTTCAGATGCCCCTAAGAGTCTATTTGGTTCAGCAAAAAACCCACAGAAATCCCTTATTTTGGAAATAAGGGGTTGTCCACGTTAGCTTTTTATGTTGATATATTTTTCTTTTTGGGTGTTTGTTTCAGCCTTTACTTTTGGAAAATAGGTGCTAGAAATCATATGCCACATAGACTTTTTTGTTGGGCATAATTTCCGAGCATGAAGCTCTGGGTTGAAGTCTAATTTTTATTCCATTGAAAATTTGTGCACGAACTCCAGTATGGAGAGATTAGGGAAAAGGTTAGGGTATCATCCAAAATTTTTATCTGATTTGGATGATCGATCTGATTTGGGTGATCGAATTGATTCTCGGCTAGATCTGCAGGCTTGTGGCTTGATCAAACTAATTTTCGGCTAGATCTATAGGCTTGTGGCGTTATCGAACTAATTTGAGTGTTGATTTAGCTCAATATTTAAGGTAATATTTTGTAATTCAACTCATATTTAATTGTTTGCATGTTTACTTTGTTGATTTTTTTTTGAAGCCAAAAACAGTTGTTGATAAGGCATATGCAATCATGACATCGTTATATCTATCTGGTCGACAAGAGGGGAGGAAGCACAAGAGATGTAAACGGAGGAGAGCGGACCTTTGTCGTCATCCTCCAGTCTACACCTATCGAGCTTCCAAACCTTCCTTAATCCAGGAAAACTCTAAAAAACAAAAAAAACTAACTTGAACTGCCATAACAACAACTGATTACATATACATACCAAAACACATTCTACCACAACATGATATGCCAGAAGGACTCAAGAAGAGCAGAGGACTGCATGTACCAAAAGAATCTACTACCACATCGATGTTATCTGGGGAACTACATTTAACATAGAAGGAGCAGCTGGGAACTCGTACCCTTAGGGGTGATTTTCTTCAATATGTTCGTTCCGAGAAGATTCTGCTATTGCTGGCAATCCTGAATTGATAGCCGCATTATGCATCCGCTGAGCTTTTTTGCTTTTTGAAGCCCCCATCCAGTAGAGAACAAAGCGGGAGGAATTAGCTGCAATAGAGGAGGGAGAAGAGTGAATGTTGTTGAAAATAAAGTTGTTACGACTGCTCCAAATGCACCAGCATGTGCAAGGAAACAAAATCCTCCATATTTCTTTGTGATTCTGGCTAACCAAGAAGTCTTCTTTTCCACTAATCAATCTTGTCACCTCCTGAGGCCATAGGCTGGTGGAAGAAGATGGGAGCAAGATGGACCAAACAGCTTGTGTAAACGGGCATGATATAAACAAATGATCATGTGTTTCCATCGTCTGGCTACAGAGGGGGCATGATGAGTCACCCGACCATCCTTTTTTGATCAAATTATCCTTGGTTTGAAGCTTCTTTTTGCTTAGAATCCATAGGAAGGTTTTAACCTTGAGAAGAATAGGAGATCTCCAGATGAAGTTATGGAAAGGGGATAAAATGCCATTCTTGCGCATTCTTCAGCGGTGTTGGTACATTGCAAAAGCAATGAACCTCCATTGTTTGAGACCCTCGGGAAGAAAGCATATTGTAAACATTCGCTATTTCAAATATTTGTAATAAAAGCAACAATGGATTGGAGATAGCTTCATATGCTACGAGCTTTTTTAGGCAAATTTCATTGCTTTTTTTTTCACTGTTGGCTTGAGCTTTTCACCCGTGGGAATGCAAAGGCAAGCTTCATTGCTTTTATAACTGTTGTTTTTTTGATATTTTTGACCGTTGGAATCCAAAGCTTATAGTTGGAATGCAAAATTTGTAGGCTAGTAATCTCACCGTGGTGAACTTATACTACATTTCTCTTTATGTATTGTTGCCTATCAAACAAAGGAAATTGTGGAAATCAAAAGTTATTATTAGATTTCTAGCTTTTATGAGTTTTGAACCAAACAAAAGATATTGAGGAAAACTACAAAAATACTTTTCCAACCTATGATTTCCTTGCTAACCAAACAAAAAAAAGATGGCATTGAAAGAAATCTTAAGAAATACATTGAAATACATTTTCTAGCATTGAATTACATTTCCAGCTTTTTAAGAAGTTGAACCAAACAATATCGTTGATCTATCAAGTGGAAATTATATGCGTCCAAATGACGAAAGCACCCCAGATCAGACTGCCCCCTCATGTCCCTTTTGATAATTTTAAAGGTAGTTTTCACAAAACCACCTTAAGTTTGGTACAAATTTAATTCAATTTTAATCCAAATACCCTAATTAATTAGTTCAATATGTGAGGGGGGCGAGTTGAAACTTGAAAACCAATTGGGTCTAAAGCATCCTATAGTGACAATTTGGAATTAAGAGGGGCCATTTCAAAATCGGCCAAACGTAAAGGGATTTCTTGAAATCTACGCACTACAGTTAACTTGTGAGGTTTTCTTATTGGTCCCTTATGTCTTTGAAACTTATAGAATTAGTCCCCCAAATGGTTGAATTGCTGTTAAGTCCTCCAATTCTTTAGTTATTTCAAAATTAGTCCCTCAACCTGTGAAAATTTCTATTAAGTCCCCAAACTTCTTCGGTTATTGTGAAATTAATCCCTCCAATTAAGAATTTACATAAAAAGATTAATTTGAATGAGAACCGAGGAACTGAATAGCAATTTTAGTGATTTATTTAAGTGACTAATTCAAAAACGTTTTTGAGCATGACCAATTCAAAAACTCAAGAATTGATTTGAGGGATAAATTTTAGAATACAAAAAATATCTACTCCTCTATACTTAAAGGAGAATCTAAAGAGTTACTGTTCATACTACAGTAAATACAATATTTGCTATAACATAAACAATAAATCAAATCTGGTACTCTGCACTTGAAGTTGCTGTTCATCCTACAGTAATTTACTGTAGCACAAATAGTAAATCAAATCTTGAAGTTACTATTCATACTATAATATTTATTTTATCTTAAAAATTAAAGTAAAATCAAATATATTAAAACTTGGATCATTCTTTAAGTATAGAGGAGTGGATATGGATCCTAAATCAAATGTATTAAAATTTAAATCATTATTTAAATATAGAGAAATATATATAATCTCTAATTATATAGACATACAATAATACAATAATTAAATTAAATATATTAAAACCTACCGTGAGGAAAACCTAGCGTGGGGTTCACGCTAGTAAGAGATTATATCGAAAATTTTTGAGAGAGTGGAGATTTCGCAGGACGGGGGCAGTTAAGGCGTTGTGGAGCGACCGTCACGGTTTCTTCCCTTCTCAACTCCCAGCCTATTTCTATTTCTCTAGAGAGAGAAAGTGCAAAAAAGGAAGAAAAGGGGCAAAGAGAGAGAGAGAGAAAAGTCATGCTAGCATAGACTCGATTGGATCAAAAGTCTTCCCTCGTATAAAAATCCCATCTTTATTAAAACCCTAGATTCAAAAATCTCTCCTTTGCACCCAGAACCCCTCTTTTTTCATTGATTTCTAAATGTGGGCCGATCTAT